TGTCACACAACAAAATATCATGCTAGGGTTTGATCAAGTTATGTACACACGACATTACCAACAATTACAAAATGTTGGTCACAGACAATTGGTACACACAACTTTTGTCTGTGTCCACAGGCATTTACTTTTTTTTGTAAAAAGTACGCTGTCAACTGCCTGACACTGACATTAGCTTGCAAATTAATCAATATATGTGCAGTGCCTATGTGCACAGACAATATTTTCATGTTGCACAAACAATTTTTTGTTTGTGTGCACAGACAACTTTTACCACATAGACAATAGTTGTGCGTTCCACAGATAATAGTTGTCTGTGTGATCAACTTTAGTTGTCTGTGACTCTGTGTGATCAATTTTATTTGTCTGGGTGAACAAAAAACTCAATTTTCTATATATATCTAAATGAAGGATGTAGTTGTATGTGTAATCAATTTACATTAATTTGAATAAAATTAGAAACATAATAAAAATATATGAAATAGGATGAATAAGTTGATTTTGTGCAAATAATGAAAAAAATTGATAAATAAAGGTAGAGAAAAAGAGGATGAAGAAGGAAAGAGGAGGATGAAGAAGATAATTTTGTTGTTGTTGGGAATTTTAGAAGAGTTTGGGTAAAGAGGAAAGAGAGAAGGGGGGGAGGAAGAAGAGAGAAGGAAGAGAGAACCGAGAGAGGGAGAAGAGGGAGGAGGAAATGAGATTTTTTTGGCTTTTATACCATGTACAACTTGTGTACATGGTGTGTATACTTAGCATTTTCCTGAATTATGAAAGGAAAATATCAATTCATTGACGGAGCAAATCAGCAAGAAAACCGCCAAATAAACTATCTCCTATTTCGAAAAAGTCAATGACATTCAATTCAATCAAACCCATGAATGAACTAATACAAAATTTTTAATTTGGCTTTTTAGCAGGTAACCTTGTACTTCTCCGGTAAACTGCCTAAGTGGCATATAATGTGGTTTTTATTTTTTCTTTTCCTTTTCCATTTTTCGTTTTCTTTTTCCGTTTTCAGTTTCCTTTCTGTTCCGTTTTTCTTTTTCGTTCTCTTCTCATCCACTGTGTTCCTCGATCTCATGCATCTAGTCAGAGCCAAGGAAGGGGCGAATGGAGGCATCCAGTCACATCGAAGAGGGGTGGCCTCGTAGATGAGTTGTCCGTTGGACGATCTGGTCAAGCCACTGACCGGTGAAACTTAATAGCCGATAGTAGTCAGTGGTCTTCGTCAATGGGGAAAGAGAAAGAGACAAAAAGAGAAAATGTCGATGCAGACAGGGTGATCTCAAACTGTAGTTGTGTGTTGCACGAAAGGGCACATATCTGGTTAGCAACGTTCGTTGCCCCTTCATATCTGCTCGTCGCATGTGGTCTCCATTAATGAAGAACGAGAAAAGAGACAACAAAATAAATTGCGTCCGGAGAGGGGTGGTCCCAGTGTGGAGTTATGCGTTGGACAGCCCGACACAACTTTGGCCAGCCACGTCCAGTGCCATTTTCACGCCTCCTTGTCTTCGTTAATGGTGAAGAGAATAATTGTTGGCCTTTGTCAATGTGGAAGCGAATACTTGCAGGTCTTCATTGGGAAGAGAAACAAAAACATACAAAAATAAATAGAACATAAGCGGACGCGAAAGAAAAAAGGAAAGAAACCAAAAAATTAAAATGAAAAGCCACCTGGATAGAGTTTACTGGGAACAAGCAGTTTATAGGCTAAAAATCCAGATTGAAAATTTTATATTAGTTCAAGGGTTTGATTGGATGTTCTTTTAGTTGGGGGGTCAATTGACTTTTTCGAAGTAGTAAGGGGGCTGATTTGACAGTTTCCCAATCAGGAAAATGTGACTACTTGTGTATATTAGTAGTATATCAATAAGGTAACATTTGTTAATTTGAGTGAAACTAGACGTAATATATAAACGATGCATCATGCAAAAATTGTAATTGGATTATCTTTATTCTCATAGCAAATGAAATGATGATTGAGATTGTACTGAAATTTGAATTAAAACGTTTGATAACCTTTAAATTAAAACCTTTTGAGCAATACTTTTACTACATATTATTCACTATTTATCATTAGCATAATAAGAAGCTCAACCTATATTCCAAACATATGGTTCAATATCCTTTGATGCCATTATGGTGTATAACATCAACACCGAAGTATAAAAATATAGTATGTTATAAAAATGGTTACCAAAATTATCACTATAATCACTACATCTAAAAGAGACTTTTCTTAAAAGTGAAATTTAGCTACTTAATATGGGTTCACACCTTATTATTTTATACTTCTTACTATTATAGAGAAATACTTTGATTTGGACCCGATTTTATTAGTATAGTATGATATGATAATGTTGAGTGTTTGCATATAGTCTGGTAATGTCATGTGTTTAGGTAGGGTTTGATCATGTATGTATATTATGCCAATAAGATAAAATTAATTAATTTGAATGAAATTACTAGAACTGATTCAAAAAACTTAAAGAATAGACATTTTTCGATTTATAGAAATCTAGATTGAATACACTTACTTTTATAGTATAGACTTTTATAAATTGCTACTAATCACTCATACTAGAAAATTCTTTGCTATTTTGTGAATGAATGGTCGAATTATGAATGCTCGAATTAATTAGAACATGTCTAAAAGCGGGAGTCTACTGTAAATTATACCGTACAACCGGCTGTACGGTGGGCACCGTACAACCGGGTATTTTTGGAAATTAAATTCAACTTCAAGCCTGACTATATATTTGATCTGTTTTATTTTGAATCGTCCATCTAAGGATGAGTTAACAGGGAGATGAATCGGCGGCAATACTTGCTTTGATGGTCGTTGTAGTAGCTTGAGCCTTTGTAGTAATTGGAGGTGGCCATGGATGGAAGCTCTCCGTGGAAGCTCTGTGTGGAAGCTCAGGCTTAAGGAGCCGTGATACGTGAATACGAGTCACTGTTAATTACTTTGTAGTATTGTAGTGTTGATTGCATTGGAATTGAGAATCCACTATTTAATTAATATTGTAGTGTATAATAGTTCTAGATCCATACTCCCTCTCTAAAAGAACGCACCTTAGGAGAGGAGCGGCGAAGGGGAAACCCTAGCCTCTTCACCTTCTTCCTCTCTTTGTTCAATTTTCTTTGGATCCAATCATGAAAAAAGTTTCGTTAGATCAATATTTTCAGTTCTATGTATACATCTATTTCCTAGTGTTGTCTAGAGATATTATTTTCGACGGCGAAATGTCGCTCGCCAGATTTATATTCCCCGCCATCATCGGTCGGGTGTTCTTGGGTGTTAGTAAGAGATGTGTATTGGCTTCTCTATCGTTCCTGAATCAAGATTTCTTCTGTATCAATATAGAGGCCGATCGCCGCCCCTCTTGAACCACCGCCGATCAAGGAAGATGGGAGTGAATGGATTGCTTTCTTTATGGTGGCTGGTGAAACCAGAACAATTTCTGCACTTGGCTCCTTACTGATGGCTGGAAAAACCAGCAAGTTTAACAAATCCTTTTCGGTGGCTGGTCAAACCGGACCTATTTCGAGTAGCACGAGCAGTCAATTTGCAGGACGAGTCTACATAGTTGCAGGGTTAGCGAACATGATAACTTTTATATGGTTTTTTGTTCTTTGTCTCACCCTAGTGTAGCATTGAACGTTGTGATTGTAATGTTTAGGTTTTTGATTGTTATGTTTCTGGTTACCCTTATTAATAACAATTAAGTTATTGATTTTTTTTTAAAAAAAAGTGTTCCAGACCCGATTCCTTTTTGTTTTAAACAAAGATGAACATATAAGATGAATATTTGAGTACATCAAATTTTTTAAATGAGATCTTAAAATTTTTTATACTCATTTTGTAAGTTATGTATGCTCATTTAGTACCAGTTTTGTGCTCATCTTAAAAATGTTACTCCCCCCGACCCTTAAAACTTTGTCAACTTTCCTTTTTGATGTTCCACTAATTTTGTCACTTTCTTTTTAAGTAAAAAAATTGTGGTTCCCGTTAATTCTCTCTCCTCTACACAAACCTCAAACCCACAATTTTTACTTTATTAATCTACGTGCCGGTCAAACATGGCAAAGTTATAAGTGACGGGAGAATATATCAATACATATTTCAAAAGTATCATATAAGTTCATTATAGATATTGTATCACGGATCATGATATTCAATTGCATATTTCTAATACTCAATATAGAAAGTTTGATGCTTAACAAAATTGTCATGATGTTCAACAATAAACTTATGAGTTTCATACTTTCATATCAATGCTCATTTGTAAGTTACATATGCTCAATTGGTACTCATGTTATGCTCATTTTTAAAATGTCATATAAATGCATATTTCAAAACTATTACATTACATTAGATTCACATATTGAAGTTCATAGGAGTTTATTATGGATATAATTTAATAACTTTTTATAAAAGAAAAAATAAGAAAAAGAAAGTGAATTAGAAGATATGAACCAGAATTCAAGATGATTATTGTTAGGCTCCTAATACTCATCAAAATACGTCTGATGCTCATTAAAAGTGTATTAATGTTTATCTAACGAAAACCGCGATTTTCACTGAAATTACGAAAATGCCACCATTTTTTAATTGTGATATCAACTTTCTTGTAATAACACGATACTCATTATTAGAATCTTAATACTCATTAAATATTGAACTATGACTCATTAATAGTACACTAAGGGGGTGTTTGGAACTGATTCTGCTTCTGCTTCTTTTTTAAAAGCAGAAGCAGAATCAGAATCAGTTTTCAGAAGCTGGTACCCAGCTTCTAAAAAAACTGATTCTGAGAGTAAATTAGAGCTCCAGAAGTGCTTCTGGAATTTCATCCAAACACTCTAGCTTCTGCTTCTGCTTCCTGAAGGAGCAGAATCAGTTTTCACAATCAGATCCAAACACTCCTAATGCTCATTTAGCAAGAAACCACTATTTTGTCATTTTATTATAAACCTCTGTTTCCACGTGCTGCGGACGGAGCTACTGTGCACGGACTCGGAGTCTCCCCAGTCCGTATGACAGCAGTTTCATATACGGAATTACGGAGTATCAGTTATCACCCTCTACCTCCGCATTCCTCATCAAAAGATGCTGCAAACAACAAACACATTTCATCTATCAAACCACGCTAACATAAACACTTGTCTGCACCCATCATCTGAACCAAGCAGGAACAGGACTAATCCCCAGTCAAGAGTGATTCAATGCGACAACACCCTCAATCGCGTTGTCATTCGCACGAGGAACTGGAGGTGTTATGCAGCCGAGCAGCACAAACCACAAGGCCCCGAACGGCGGCCTCCGAAGCAGAGAAGGGACAGGTCCGATGAAGACAGCGGCATTGACCCGGTTGGGTTCCTCGCCAAACACGGCATTGCTAATAAAGCTTTTTCTCAATTTCTTCGTGAAAGGTTGTCACCTTTTGTGCTTAAGTTCGTGAAAAATGTGTACTTTTTTTAGCATGTGTAAATCTAATTCCCTTCTTGCTGTATGCAATGAGTACTGTTCAGGCATAAATCACTGAAGGACTTGAAAGACGCAATTAGCAACCGTCACCTCGATCTTAAGGAGTTGGCGTCTGGGTTAGTTTACTGGATATATACTTTGTCTTATGCATTATCGTATTTGTGCATTTTATTTGGGGTTTGATATACTGTGTGTGAACCTTCATCCTTGGGCGGTATTATCTATTTTTGGGAATGATAAAATTTGCCCAAGAAAATGATGTGAGTTCTTTTTAGTTGTTCGGTTACTTTCACGATTCACGACATCCTATTTCCAGATTTGAAATGATGGGCATGCACAGGAATGTGCAGCATCGAGTGGATTTCATGGAGTGGGCTCCAGGTTCAACACAACTCTTTAGACTTAAATCGCTTAATTAGGTTTAACACAACTCTTACACCTAGGTATTCTTTTTTAAAGGCAGGCTGTTCTTTTTCAAATGCAATCTATCTATTCACCATCTCTGAAACTTGACCTCAAAATTCATGTACCCTGGACTTAATTTCTATTCAGGATTTATAGTTATGTATTGACTTATCATGAAGTTTCTCATTTAGAATATATTGTCTGTTATTTTCTTTCTTTTGTACTAAAGTCCGGGCGAGTCCTTAAAATGGAACTAGAAATTCCAGTATTAAAAGTAATTTGATTTGCCAATCCTCTTAGAATCACATCACATGGAAAGAATCCATGATTCTTTGTTTCTCTTAATAAGAGCTATCATTTCCACTTTAGGTGCCCGCTATTGTGCTATTGTTGGTGATTTTAATGCGTGGTCACCTACTGAAAATTGTGCCAGAGAGGGTCATTTTGGTCATGATGATTATGGATATTGGTTTATTATACTTGAAGATAAATTACGTCCGGGACAAGAGCCAGATGAACTCTACTTTCAACAGTACAATTATGTGGATGAATATGACAAAGGTGACAATGTCACTGCAGAAGAGGTTTTCAAGAAAGCAAATGATGAATATTGGGAACCTGGTGAAGACCGCTTCATCAAATCACGATATGAGGTTGCATCTAAGTTGTATGAGCAATTCTTTGGGCCAAACAGCCCTCAAACAGAAGAAGAACTTGAGGAACTTAAGCCTGAGCCTGATCCAGAGATTAGATATAAAGCTTGGAAAGAGGAACATAAGAATGATCCTCCTAGCAATTTACCACCTCTTGATGTGATTGACCAGGGAAAAGAGTATGATATCTACAATATCGTAGATGACCCGGTATGGCGAGAAAAATTTCGGGCAAAGAGTCCTCCTATTGCTTATTGGTTGGAGAGTAAGAAAGGAAGGAAAGCATGGCTGGAGAAATATACTCCTGGAATACCACATGGAAGCAGATATAGAGTGTACTTCAACACTCCAGACGGGCCTTTAGAACGAGTCCCTGCATGGGCTACTTATGTTGCTGCAGGTTTGTCAAAAGATTGGTTTTGATTTTAGTGGACAGTTGTGTAACAGTTTTTGGTTCCTTTGTGTTAAATCAAACCTCAATTAATAGATAGAAACAATATTTATCAGATCATGTATCCACGACTTCATGTTCCTGTCCTTTGTTTAGTTTTGCTATATAAAAAGAGTCATATCTGAAAAGTCATAGCTGTATCAAAAGATTCAAAAGAAGTTAGAATAAAGAAAAACTAATTTCCATTTTGTCTAATGTATTTTTAAGTGACTGAAACAAGTTAAGTAATATAATTAAACCAATAAATAAATTTAAACACATAGCTAGACTTGATTTCCATCATTTACAATGGAGCCAAAGACTCACTATTTTTTGGCTTAGGAATATGACGGAATAAAGCAAAATGACTCGTCTGGGCTTCTTTGTTATGAAGCAGCAGTAAGTCCTTGCAATTTTCGATGCGATTTTCACTATGGGTCATCCCGAAACAATCTCTCAATTTTCGACGCGATTTTCACTATGGGTCATCCGGAAACAATCTCTTTGTGCTTTAGTCCAGAGGTAAGACTGTACATCCGACCCCACCATAGGTGGGAGCCTTTGCGGCACTGGGGTAATGATGATGATATAGCTAGACTTGATAATTTTCGATAGTTTCACCATGATGAAACATGGTTTTTTGGGGGATAAAGGTAGTAATTCATATCCACATAGATATTGATGTGGCTCAGTTGCTCATGCATCAGGGCATCAGGCTGATGGAAATTTATGAGCTAATCTTTGATACACAGGTTCAGATGGAAATCTAGCTTTTGCTGTCCACTGGGAACCACCTTTTGAATCTGCATACAAGTGGGAGCATAAATGCCCATCCAAACCAAAATCTCTCCGTATTTATGAGTGCCATGTTGGGATTGCTGGTCAGGAACCAAAAATTTCTTCATTCAGTGATTTTGTGAGCAAGGTAAATACTTGTAATTTTGCCGTGCTTTCTCTGAAATTTATCTAGATATTAATCGCGACCAAGTTGTCCAAGCTTTCTTTAGTTCAACTTTAAAGCCTTCATTCATTAATATGTCCACTTCTTTACCTGAAAAAGATTGGGACTTCTTCCCTGGCAGAAGTATCATTGCCTTATCTTAAGAACATCATTTTTTCTTAAGTGTGCAATATAACTTTGATAATAATTTTAGGTCCTTCCACATGTAAAAGAGGCCGGATACAATGCGATCCAGCTTATTGGCATTGTTGAACACAAAGATTATTTCACTGTTGGGTATAGAGTAAGTCAGCATTAATTAACCTTTTCTGACCTGATAAAGTATTAGGAAGTGGCACCAAAGTTGTGGTTCATAACTTAGTGAAGTACCCTACCATTTTGTGCAGGTGACAAATTTTTATGCCGTTAGTAGCCGTTTTGGCACTCCAGAAGATTTCAAACGCTTGGTTGATGAAGCACACGGTAAGCCATTTTGATTTATTTCATCATGTTAAAAAATAAACCACCTATAATAATTATTTTTAATTCAAAGAGCGTGTGGAACATTTGAATTTTCAAATTTATACTCCGTATGTAATTTATTTGTTGCATAGTTTCATTGTTTAAAGTTAAGAAAACTCACAATAACAGTGAAATTATTTACAAGTCTTACTTTTCATTTTAGTTTGTCTCACGATTATGTCTACTTTCTCCTTTTGGATCTCACTAACTTTCTACTTTTTTTCGTACTTTCCCTTTATTGATGTGAAATGTAAAACTATTTGCACAGTTCCTCAAATGTCACCCACCTTTTGGATGGTAAAATTGGAAAATTAACTAAATATAATTTGTTTCTTATTCTCCGTGCAATAAGCAATTGGGACATCTAAAGTGGGGTGGGTGTAATAATTAAGAATAATATTAATATTCTATTTAGAACTGACATGTTATTCAAAAATATTATCTAGCTCTGTTTTAATTAAAAGTACATATCCTTTAAACATTGCTATAAGAAACATTTTCTTACCAAATTGTTGTGGCTTTTTTCTTCTTCTAAGTTTCAGCATCAAAGTTTAATAAATAGTAATTAAAGTTTAAAAAAATAGTAACAATAGGCAATAGTAGAGATGAACTATGCTCTGCTCTGTTACATAATAATTAAGAACAATTATATCTTTACTAGATAAATAAGTTTTTCAAAAGAATATCATCCAAGTCATTGTTAATTAAAACTACTTAATATTTTCAGTTGGGCAATTGAATGGTCTATTCACATTTCAATGACAAAGTAAAGACATCCTTGACATTCCAGTTATCATTCCATAGTGCCTTACTTAATTGGCGGTATACTGCCATGACGCCATATGTATGTATATTATATATATATATATATTATTTCCTTTTATTTTTATTATCAGTTACACTTCTTTTTATGTGGCATGTAATTTTGTAGGGGACTCTGTACTTCATTATATTATATTTAGGGCTCTTCAATATGATGTAAACAATTTTGCAAGCTTTCTATCTAGTTCTCTCATAGTATCAAGAGCATTGAAACATTTTTTATTCTTTATCCTAAACCATGAAACTCTAAACCCGCTAAACAATCAATCCAATACCACCACAAAGGAAAAATCTTCCGATGAAAATGCATCTGCAAATCTCCTAAGGACGTTGACCCTAAATCAATTCACATCTCTGATATACCCATCCCATAAATGGAGTATAAAAATATATTTATACCATTTTTTGCCAACCCATTCTTAATGGTTAAAATTACGCCTCTTAGGCTAGAGCAGTAGAGCCATGGAAGAAGCCTTTAGGTTTTAGTGTCTAGGATGAACTTGGTTTCATTGATGGAGCCATATGTAATTTGAAGACCTGAATATGCTTGTTCGTTAGCAACGAGTGGATGATATTGTCCAAAATTAATTATATGCATTTGTCACTCTTGAGATCAAGCATAGTAGTATTCTTTTTTCTCCATCCGTCCGAGAGATATGGAATGATTTCACCCAAAGGTGTTTCCAGCTAGTTACCCTAAGCTATTTGAATTGAAACAACAAATCTCAAATGCTAAACAAAATGGAGATGATGTTTCCTCCGATTTTACCAAACTTCGTACCCTTTGGGATGAACTTGATGCTATCAGCCCATGCATGTGTATTTTAGGCCAAGATGCGTCAGAGTATGCTGTATGCTGACCAAGAACATTGTGTGGTGTTTCTTGAAGGGCTTTATGAACACTTTTTGAATCTCCGATATCAAATTCTTATGCTAGAAACTCTCCTGTTCCTTGCTAAAATTTATAACCTTGTCTGCCGAAGTTCAACAAACACTAAACCAACCGTCCCTTCTCCCAATCGAAATAGCTGCCTTGAATATGCAGCGCTGATCCAATCAACCCAAGTGCACAAGGTGAATTCCAAAAGCAGATTTAAACAACATGAAGAATTTATTCAACCATACTCACCATTCACCAACTCTGTTTTTATTTGAATGGCTTCTGATGTGTAACGGAAAAATAAAATCAACAGGGTAAACCGTTGCCCAGATAATCAACGGTAAAAATACCATTGCCCTGAGCCAAAAGGCTAAAACCAATTTTATTCCAAGATGATCAAGAATGAAGCATACAAGGGCATAGAGTTACAAATGCTTGATCTCAAGAGTGACAAATGCATATAATTAATTTTGGACAATATCATCCACTCGTTGCTAACGAACAAGCATATTCAGGTCTTCAAATTACATATGGCTCCATCAATGAAACCAAGTTCATCCTAGACACTAAAACCTAAAGGCTTCTTCCATGGCTCTACTGCTCTAGCCTAAGAGGCGTAATTTTAACCATTAAGAATGGGTTGGCAAAAAATGGTATAAATATATTTTTATACCATTTATGGGATGGGTATAAATAACCATCTAGGTCTAATAAGAATAGGAATCCTAATTAAATCATAATAGGAAACTAAATAGAATAGGAAATCTCTAGTTCTAATAGAAGTCCTAATTAAATCAGTCTAGGAAACTAAATAGAAATAGGAAACCTCTAATTCTAATAAGAATAGAAGTCCTAATTCAATCATACTAGGAAACAAAATAAATTAGGAAATAAAATAAAAGGAATTATTAAAATTAATTAAATTGCCCGCAGCCAGCCCACGAAGGTGGGCTCAAGCCTGTTCCCGCCCCATGCTCTTCCTGCTCTCTATCAGCTTCACACTCAATAGCTGGACCCATCAACCGTGGCAGCCAGGACTGCCGTTGTTTTCTCTCACACTTCCCATAATTTTCATCCCTAAAGTGACCTACTCAATTCGTAACGTAAGCGCAACAGTAGACATTAGTGTTGTTTTCATATTTCATTTATCTAGGTCTGTTACTTATTGACTCATTGCTTTGGTTCTATATTGTAAGGTTTTGGGCTGCTGGTTTTCTTGGACATTGTTCACTCCTATGCAGCAGCAGATGAAATGGTTGGATTAGCACAATTTGATGGAACAAATGACTGCTTTTTCCATACTGGTATACACTTCAAATTTTGGGTTAGAGGAGATTTCACCTGCATTACAGACTTCACTGTCATTTTTTCCCTTTCTTTCATATTTTGGGTTCATCTACAGAAGAGCGGCGTTTGTGTTTTAACATTCAGTTGACTATAAGATGTTAAAAGGGTGTGGTTTCTTCATATGATTTTTTAGGTGCTAAGTTCAGTTTTTCACCTGTATTAATAGGTAAACGAGGGCATCATAAATTTTGGGGTACGAGAATGTTCAAATATGGAGATCATGATGTACTGCATTTCCTTCTTTCAAATTTGAATTGGTAAATATTTTCAAGATTAACCCACTTTTCATGTTATATTCCTTCTGTGTTCTGAAATTTCTTAACGGTGCAACTTTTGTTTTTATTTGGATGTGATTTTGTGTTTGGGTTATGGGTTATGCTAGAAAGTGGATACACTTGTTCCAAAGTTTTATTTTATTTATGTCTGTGGGTACAACAACAACAACAACATTCAAGACTTAGTCCCAAAAGATTTATTTATGTCTTTGGGTGTTTGGTAAAAAATGTTGATATTGGTGGATGAACTCGGAATATTTTCTATTGATTTAGACTTGGTTCATGGTTGCTTCATTGTTCTTCATTTGTCTTTGGTGCCGATTGATGTTATTGCTCATGGAAGTAGTACTTTTTTTTCTCTAGGTGGGTGGAGGAGTATCATATCGATGGTTTCCATTTCCATTCGCTTCCATCAATGATGTATACACACAATGGATTTGCATCATTTACTGGTGACCTTGAAGAGTAAGACGCCCAAAATTTTCCCAGTTTTACTGTGAGACTAGTTATGTAACTACACTTACCACAATACCATCCAAACCTTATTCACAAAAGAGTTTGGGGTTGGCTAACAGACTAACATGAATAGGCACTTGATATCGGAGTTGAAAACAATAAATAGAGAAAGAGGGAGACTCACAATGAAAGATCAATCCTCCCTGCATATTCTCTCCTCCCACTTCGCCCTCTCGAAGTCACACTCTCATCTAACCCAAGAACTATCATATCATTCTTGATCACTTTAGTCCATGTCTGTCTAGGCTGTCCCCTCCCTTTCCTCCCTGCTCCCTCTCCCTACCTCTCAATCCATCTAATTGTCGCAACACTAGGTCTTCTACACACATGACCAAACCATCCCAACTGATACCCTCACATAGTTACATCTAATCTTCAATAGGTGTTACTCCCACTTTTTGCGTGATTGTCTCATTCCTCAAACTGTCCTTCCTAGAATGCCCACACAACCAATGCAACATGCGTATCTCAGCCACATTCATGTTACGTAACTATAGTTTATACAAGTAAATTGTTATTCTAAAATGATTTTTTTTTGTCTCAGTCCAAATTTGTATCAGACTTCTGTCATGTTGGACTGTTCAGAAATTTATTCTGTATGTATAAGGCGTGAACCCAAATTCCAATTGTTAGCGTTTTCTATGGTTAATCATTTATGCAGGTACTGTAACCAATATGTTGACAAGGATGCCTTGCTGTACCTCATGTTGGCCAATGAGATCTTGCACACTCTTCATCCTAATATAATCACAATAGCAGAGGATGCAAGTAATCTTTAACCTTGGAGTTACTTAAATATTCTTTTGTGGATGAGATAGTGATACTGTTCTGATTCAAATAGCCATCACATAATTTTATATCTTTTGTTCTTCTGTAAATGACATCGTAAGGTACTAAGGTGCCTGCCTATATCCCTCTTGAAGCCCTAATCTTCTCATTATTATTTTTGAATCTGCTTTTCTTTTCTCATTAATCATTATGACAAGTTAATTACTTGCTCAGGCAACACTTTATCCAGGACTGTGTGAACCAACTTCTCAGGGTGGACTGGGCTTTGATTATTTTGTCAACCTTTCTGCCACAGATATGTGGCTATCGCTGCTTGAGAGTAAGCCTGACCGTGAATGGAAAATGAGTGAGGTAGACCTTTTTTTTCAGAGTAGTGGTGTAAATGGTTAACCTTGGAATTGTGACTTTATTCTCCATATACTCTTTCAATAATTGACCACATAATACCCAGATTATTGGCAAATTAATGGGCAATAGACAAAGTGTTGATAAGATGCTTTTGTATGCCGAAAACCACAACCAGGTTAGTTGCTATCCTTTACCATTTTCATCTTGGAATTTATGAAGTCTTCCTACTTTGTTTCAGTTCAAATCTCATTGCCATTTTCTTTCTGGCAGTCCATATCTGGAGGGCGCTCATTTGCAGAAATATTATTCGGTGAAGCCTTGAAAGACCCTTCGATTTCACAACAAGTGTTACTTAGAGGCTGCTCATTACATATGGTTGGTGCTTAGTCTATGTTGATCTCTCGAACCCACTTAATTTGTTACTACCTCCGTCCCTTAATGTAAGATACACTTGGATTTGGCACGGGTTTTAAGAGAATAAAGGAGAAATGTTGTTGTTTTACCATTCTAAACTAAAAAAAGTAAGAAAAAGTAGGATGGGTCCACAATAAAGTAAAAGGTGAAATGATAGATAAAGGGAAAAGGTGGGAAAAAGATAGTAGGGTTTAATTTTGGAAAGTGTTCATATTTTTGGGACAACCCGAAATAGGAGAATGTATATTACAAAATGAGATGGAGGGAATACTATTTATTCTCTCCTTTTGCAAATCTTTCTTGCACGTTATTTTCATTTTCTCCTGAACAACTAGTTTTGCAGGGAGGGTTGAATAAAACAGAAACCTGTGAGCAAGTATTATCCTGATATGCTATATCCCCCTTCCCCTTCCCTGAGAAACTGAGGAATTGGATCACTTTCGTTCTCCCTTCATTGTTATTTTAACCTAAAACTTAGCTTTACGATACAACAACAACATCCAAGCCTTAGTCCCAAAAGACCTTAAAATTAGCTTTAGGATATTCTTCATTAATTTCAACTGGTTTATGTCGTGCGCATGACCTTAGGTCAAAAGCAATTAGATCCTAGTCTCATTAAAAGTTAACAACTCAAGTCTTTAAAAGCTAAATGCTAATAATGACCTTATGATGAATACTCCAAAAGTCCTTAGTATGCAGCAAGTGAGCGATCTGTTTATTACTTCTCTTTTATTATATAAGTTTTTTAATTTTCATTGTGGGAAATATATAATTCTTTATTTTTTATATTATTTTCTTGCACAAGATGATCAGGTTAATTACTTTCACAATTGGTGGTCCGGCATACCTCAATTTCATGGGCAATGAATTTGGACACCCTCAGGTTTGTTACAGTTTATATTGTGTTTAAGATAATTAATGCAGATTGATAACACCCTATACACATATGAACTAATTATTACATTATTAACACAGAGAGTTGAGTTTCCAATCCACAGCAACAATTATTCATTTTCACTGGCAAACCGTTGTTGGGATCTTTTGTCAGATGAAGTCCATAACCAGTTGTTTTCCTTCGACAAGGTAATTGAGCAAATGCTGGTTAATTTCACACAATAATCCAATTTGGCTTTTCTGGTACAGTAATACTGTCACTTTTTTCTTGATAAATTTATCACGTTTTGGCCCCCTTCTGTTTTGTTCCAAGAGAAGGTTGGGGCCTTTTGGGTGCAGTGGGGTAGAATTGTAAATTAGTGATGCAGCATGATACAGCCCATCTCTCATTAACGTTTCTTAGCTATTGGAATTGTTCTATTTAATTGGAGGCTGCTTTGGCCTCCACCGTAGGTGGAAGCCTTTGCGGCACTGGGGTAATGTTGTTGTTGTTGTAATTGACGGGCTGCTTTGGCCAAATAACTTATTACAAAAAACGGTCTACTATGTTGAAGATTGCTTGCTTACCTGCTAATTCTTGTAGGGTTTGTTTAAGATTTTTCTGTGTATAATGTATATACTATATACCCATTATGATTTTACCAGCCCCCCACCAATTTTATATTTTGAAAGAGAAATTGACAACTTTTACCCATCTAATCTAACAATTTATATATTTCCTAGGATATGCTGGACTTGGATGAAAATGGAAATGTGCTTTCCAGAGCCCTACCTAACATCCACCATGTCAATGATGTAATGATGGTATGACAGTGCATATGGTTTTGTTTTGGCGCTGTTGTCTTTTATCTGGTTTTGTATAATTATTTCATTGCTTCATCAAGTGAATATCATAACAAATGAAAAGGTCGAGTAAGTGATATATCGATCTTCAAGCATTTAGATTATTATATAGAAGAAACGATAGATATTGGTAATCAGTGTATCCATTTTAGCAATTGTTTTTATAATTGACCACCATCACTAAATTCCCTTCCCTCTAAATCCGATAATAAAAAAATAAGGTCAGTAATTGTGCTGTCAGCCTGTCAGATGGGTCATGAGCGTTTTTCGGATAACCAGAATGCAATCAACAGCTTCGAACCAAAAACTTATAACTAAAACACTGTCTAAGCTGTTCAGAACTCAAAGATTCAAAACTCAAATGTGTATAAATCCCAATTACAATTCTCTGACGCGAAAGCTTAAAGAAGTTCTTTTTTGGGATATCTGGATTCCTCTTATGGTAAATCGGATTTTGCACCCCATATTTACCTTGCGAATACCATATTCTTCATTAGACATTGCAAAAACTTATAACTAAAACACTGTCTAAGCTGTTCAGAACTCAAAGATTCAAAACTCACATGGGTATAAATCCCAATTACAATTCTCTGACGCAAAAGCTTAAAAGTTCTTTTTCGGGATATCTGGATTCACGCTTAAGGTAAATCAGATTTTGCACCTCATATTTACCTTGCAAACACCATATTTTTCATTAGAATTTGCACCCCATGCTAACCTCGTAATTAAATCTGCACCTCACTCAGGGTGCAATGTTAAAGAAAACAAAACATGGGGCTCAAAGTCAAATAATGAGGCAAACGTGGGTGCAAAAGCTCATTCTCCCTTTTGCATGTCCCAAAACTTGAAAATCTTAATTAGTTGTTGTTGTGAGAGTATCAATCCAGCACAACTACTTATCCATTGCCTCTATATTATATATGAAAAATAGTCTAATTTGAATGATTTGTTGTGTTTTCTTAATTTTACAAATTTAGAAATAATTAGTTAATTGCTCTAATTTTCATTGGAAAGACAAAAGCTCTTTTTTTTTACATATTTAGAATTAATGGGTTAATTTTTCTAATTTCCATAGGAAAGATTAAAGCTCTTCATTTTACAATTTTATAATCAATGGGTTGATTGCTCTAATTTTCATATGAAAGACAAAAACTGTTATATTGTGATGCAGGAGATAGAAAATGATTTTTTAGATCAAGTAAGATACTCCAACTTTTGTATACTGTGACAGGTGATATCTTACTTGAGAGGCCCTTTTCTGTTTGTGTTCAATTTTCATCCCGTGGATACATACGAAAGATACAACATAGGTGTAGAAGATGCTGGGGAGTATAATGTAAGTGTCATTTTTATGTTCTTTAATTATTTTGCATTTTGCATTTTTTCTTCATCCATGTAAGATCTACTTGCTTATTATCTATATTGTTGAAGTCTTTTCATACATTTATTTGATGTCTACTTGCATAGATCTAATACCATCTAGAAAATAGACATCCTGTTCCCTCTTTCCCCATTGTATGATATTTGAATCCTGGGCGCACTAACACAAACTTTTTATGAAGAACTAGCATGTTAATTTCCTATTTTATATAATCAGAGGTTATAAATATATTTGACGAATCCCTTAATTGTTTCAATCCAAAGCAGTATGTTTGGATCACTAGAAATGCACAGGAAATGAAAACATATGCCAAGTTATCATGTTATGTTCAGCTTTGCCTTGAAAACTGCAAGGAAATGATGTATGTTTTTTTACTATAGCAAGACTTCTTAATATTTATAGAGTGGTAATATATAATTGTATGTTTTTTGAAAAAAAATCTAAGTTAATTATACCGAGTTTTTGAATTTATCTTTTTCTTATTCTCTTACCCCCGGTTTCAAACAGACCTTAACGGTATTTTTGGCTCGGGGTATTTGACGGGGAAGGGAGGGAAAATGCTCCCCTCCTAGGAGCATACATGATAATTTTTCCTTCCCTAAATCCCCCTCTCCTGCATTCCAACTAAATCAAATAATAAACTTCATCCCTCTAATTTTAAGTATCAATTCTTTATCTAATTTGATTTCAGTTTTACGCTTCAATCTTTTTAGTGTAGTTTCCAAATATCCTAATCTAGTCTAGTTATTAATGGTAATTCAAATATTGTGTGGGAGGAATCAACTTTAGCATCACACATCCATCATGAACTGAATTGGCAAAGTTGAGTGGGATGGATGAGTAATATTATTACACTCCCTCCTTTCCCTCCCCCATTTCCTTGAACCAAATATACTCCAACTCTGTAAGGGTATTCATGAATCTTTTGTTCCTAATAAAACATATACATAGGTTATATTGAACACCGATCAAAGCAAGTATGGCGGACGAGGATTGATCAGTCATGAGCAACATGTCCAAAAAACCAGCAATCTTAGGTAAAAAGTGCATTACAAATGCTTATCCGAAAGTAAATAACTTTATATATAAGGTTTCTTGACATCCTGTTGCATCTTTATTCTTGTGTCTGATGACAATCTTATATCCAGAGTCGATGGAAAGAGATTCTGCTTGGAATTGCCTTTGCCAAGTAGAAGTGCTCAGGTAAGTAATTTTCTTGAACTTGAGCTACGTTCATGGCGTAGATAATGGGATACTTGTAATAATAATTTCTTACTCTGCTAACAGGTTTACAAGTTGACACGAATTCTGAGAGTATAATTTGGTGATTCCAAGAGGGACCAGTTAATATATCAGTTTGACATGCCCTTCCTTTCAGTTCATGAGTCCACATGTGACATACCATCCTCTCATTTGGAAGAAAGGTCAGCTCCTATCTGATTCTCTTAGTGTGAGTTGAGTGTTTGCAATTGCTTAAAACAGCACTTTTCAACTTTTTTGTTTTAGAAAAAATCTTCGAATGTACATGATAGAGAACACCATACCAGACATACCCAATGATTAGGCATATTTAACAGTCGAATGTACATGATAGAGAATTCCATACCAGACAAATCCAATGATCAGGCATATGTAATCATAGAAGGGGTAACCTCCTAAAGAGCAACACACCATAGAAGGGCAAGCTACCACCGGGCCAGGTCGTGTTTCTCAACAACCACACTGTAATCAAGCAGAAAGAGTTCAACAGAAAAAAGTAACAAAAAGTAAAAGAACTGAAAAAAGCTGAAGCAAAAGGGGACTGCACTCCCACTAAAAGGAGCACAAACAGATAAACAATAACACTCATGTCACGTGCTAGCAAAATGATCTTGCCCAGGATGCTCCATGGCTTCCAACCAACTCCAAACACACCATACACCACGGAAGATCCAGTCACCATACTCCAACCTCCCCTTTAACAAAACAATCAGACCTCTCCTGCTTCTCCACCTGAGTTGTCTGGCATAGCCAGCCAGTCCCATAGCAACACTGTTTATGCAGGCGCAGAAACCAATACAGGGCTGCGCCACAAGTCCACAACCCCTCCCCTGCCCCTTGTTTTGGCTGAATTACATCCCAATTCATAGCATTTGCACATCCTCTATTCTAGTCATTTATCAGTCTCCCCGTCAGTCCAAATTCATTTCCCCTTCTACTGCTGCCACTACTGCTCACACTACTGCCACCAGACCAGTGCTCCTGTCATCCCTTAGCGGTCCCTATGGCCCTACTGTCCAGAAGCAGTCATCTGCTGCCTCTCCCTGCCAACCCCTCCCGACCTTCTGCCCTGAACCGAACCCCATAATCCTTTTCACTAGTTCTTAGACCATCCTCCTATAGCTTTGGACAGAACTTGTCTCTGTGTCTGATCACACTAAGGCTAAAAAATGAAGCAAAATTGGGTAGTTTTCATAAATAAGATCACCCCCTTCTGCCTCGGTTTCATCCTGCGTTTTATAGACTTTCCCCACCTCTGCCAGAGCTCGGATCCACATATAGGCTTTCCACGGACTGCCAAAATAGAGCTCATAAGACCAGCTGAAACCATCCAGAAGATTCTTGACTGCCGCAGCCATTGATGCTTTTACGCCCGTGACATTACTATAATGTTTCGTCAGTAAATTCTTGGTCTGTCCACCATAACCTAACTCACATGAACAAAAAACACCCCGATCCCCCAAGTCGTGAAAAGTTGTCTCTGTATTCAGGTCTCCATAGAGCTGCCATCCTTCCAGGAAAATAGGAACTTTACTGTCTTTTTTGGTGATCACCGTTCCAACCACTGTGTGAGAAGTGCCGGTAATGTTTCTTCTTCAGTTGCTATTTGTTTATACACTAACCCTCTAATTCGTCCTCAATACATTTTGATAAATCTACACACATAATACTGTTAGCCCCAATGGAAAATGGGCAATTTCCCCATGCCTCTCTTATTTGTATTTGTTATTAGGTCGATGATATCTTCAGGCTGTTCCTCTATCCTTCACGAACAGATTTGGAGGAGGTGAGTATCATTAGTGGTATTGGAGTGGCGGTCATCTAATCTTTTCTTCTCCTTTATCATCAAGAAGCAATCACACTTCAGAGTTGATGCAGAAAATTTATTCTCAGAACTGTTATTTTATTATGGGAACGAAGATAGTATAGATCATAGATCAAGATGATTGTAAACTTCTCATACTTTAAATGCAGTGCTAGTCTGTTAATAGCAATTATTTTTTTAGTAAAGATGAATTCTTCAATTCTGCACAAGTGCACTATGAACTTTGATGATGACGATACAAACTCTGCATACACGATCAGTCTGTTTTAGCATCAACTCAATACTGCGTTCTATGATTATCAAATGTAATAATAAGGCTCCATTTGTTTAGTGGAAAATATTTTCTTGGATTTTTTTCTTATTGCATGTGATTGGCGCCAGAAAGGATAATATTTAAGAAATTCTCGTAAATAGGGTTAAAACACGGAGAAATTCCAAAATATGAGTTGCAATTTATTCTCTAAATAAGTTACATTTCTACCATTAATATAATTAAACCCTCCAACAAAATTATTTTATTGGTCTTCTCCATTGCAAGTCTGCATCGCTGGAGCTCTCCCTATACCACTATACCAGTACCATCTTTGCCACACCCAGTGGTGGACTCGGGCCGGGTGGCCCGACCCGGTGGTTTTCCGGTGCGGGCTCGGGTCATGTAAACAAGGAACCGGCCTGACCGGGCCGGGCCCGGTTTGGGCCATATTTTTTTTTTGTTTTTTCAATTTTTTTTTGAAATCCCGGGTTGGGCTGGGTATTCTGGGCCATTTGGGGTGGTTTGGGTGGGTGGGGGGTTAATTAGGAAAAGGAAAAAAATAGAAATTGGCTCGAGGCCCAGCCCGGGCCCGAACCGGATCTGCAATGTGTTGCATGTAACCTCCTCCACAACCTGCTCACACTTCAAACACTTGTGTTGTTTTTATGTGGACTTAGGATGTTTTTACTTGGACTGTAATTTGCCCCAGACCAGTCCAGACCAGACCAGACCAGTTCAGACCAGACCAGACCAGACCAGACTTGGATAGTTATAAAAATACAAAGAAACCAGACCAGACCAGTTCAGACCAGACCAGATCAGACCAGACCAGCAAATTATAGTCCAAGTAAAAACAACCTTATTTCTGTCCTAGACCAGGTCAGATTAAACCAGTTTGGACCAGATTAGATTAGACATTGACATTTATAAAATAAACAGAGACTACATTTACCAGACTAGAGTAGAGCAGATCAGACCAAACCAAATCAGATCAGATCAGACCAGAAAAATCCAGTCCAAGTAAAAACATCCTTGATTTGTTATCTTCTATTCTTTCAATGAGTATTGAGCCATGAAAATGAATGGGTAGATTAAGCACTTGGTTTGTTATTTTATTGAGTTTTTGCCGCTTTTAGACTTTTAGTCATCTGGCGATTATTTTTTTGTTAATTTTGGTATTCGCTTTTGATTTTCCCCACTTTTAGTCCTTTGACTTCTGTGCGCTAATTCCCATATTTAGTCTTTTGAATGTAATAAAAGTGATACTTTTTTTAACTATTATAATAGTGAAATCATAGTTGGACTAAATTTATCAATTTGATAATACCTTGAGGACTAAATGCCAAAAACTTTAAAGTTGAGGACTAAAAGTGTCTCTCACATAATAATCGAAAAACCAAAAATGAAAAAATTGAAAGTCGAGTACAAAAAGTGTCACTGACACAATAATCGGGTGATTGAAAGTGACAAAAACTCTTGTTTTATTCTTTCAATAAGTATTATGCCACAAGAATGAAGGGATGGATTATGTAAAACACTTGCTCATCATTTTCAGATATAGCTTCATAGATCTTATGGGCAATACTTTCATAATTTTCCTAATATCTAGTATACATGGAATTTTATCTCAATATCTTTCATTTTAATCTTCCTAGAGTATACTAACTTACTAAGTACTAACTATTCATTCAAATGACTCCTCTTTATCCGTTGTATTCATTGAGAGTGAACAAGAACATATTCTTCAATATTCAGTGTACATCCTCATGTAATGGTGGACCCAGTCTGCCGGTCTCGATTAGGTCAGAACAAGGCTTGGTACGTTTGGAATCAGCTCGCGACCGGTTTTTGGTCCCGATTAAGGACCACCCCCATCTAGGGATGTTTTCTTTTGGACTAAAATTTGCTGGTCTGGTCTGATCTGGTCTGGTCTGCTAAACGTTTGGTCTCTGTGTATTTTATAACTACGAAGTCTGGTCTGGTCTGATCTGGTCTGAAAACAGTCCAAAAGAAAACATCCTAGGTCTTCGTTACCCAATCTAGGGCGCGATTGCTTGGGACAGGGGTGGGCTAGTTTCGGGCGCGGTTCCGATCCCCGATGCCTCGATAGTTTGAAAGAAATTAACTGAGACCCAGCGTAGGATTGGACCGACCGACCTACCTCACCCAGATATAGCGGTTAATCCCGGGCCTTCCATCTCTTTGGAAGGTCCTACCGGTCTCGACCTGAAACCAGGTTCGAACTGGACCGGGTCCATGCCTATCCTCACGTAAAGGTTGAAGAGATTATAGCTTTTCTAAGCGAATTCTCTTTTGTATATGGGTTGAGAAGATTCGTTAAGATATCCTTACACATTGGCAAGAGTATGTTTATTCGAGCATTCCTTGTGGCATTTTCACCGAAGTCCAAGGAATATCAATGAATGAGCGTATTCTGACATCCTAAAAGAGGTGTCAAGGGACGGAGCCAGGAACCGGTGTCAGTGGTGTCAATTTAACAAAGCACTATTTTTAAGCAGAATACTACTACCTCCGTCCCACTATGTATGAGACAATTCGGTTTGCGATATTTAACCGCCGATAAAGAAAACTGATTCTTGTACGCACTCAAATTATTTTTGGAAAATAAAAATCACATATTTAGAAACTACATAAAAAACTTTACAAAGTCGCAAAAACCAGAATCAAATTTGATAAAAATTTGATATATAAAATAAAGGGAAAATCACATTTTTAGTCCCTGAAATAGTCACGAAAATGAAATGTTCGACCCGTATTCCCAAGTTTGTAAATGTCACCCCTCAATTGTCCTAAATGCCCTAAATGCGGTCCATTTAGGGGTGAAATATACAATGTGGACGAGAGTACATTTCACACCTTAAAGGACCACATTTACAACAATTTGGACAATTGAGGGTGACAGTTACAATATCAGATATACGGATCCGACATTTCATTTTCGTGACTATTTCATGAACTAAAAGTGTGATTTTCTCTAAAATAAAAGATTAAGAGTGATTTGTATTGACTGAGTGAATAGTGTCTGAGACAATCTTAGCGTGACGGGGGGAGTATTATATAATAATAATCTATAAACACATAAAGGCATAAAGCAAACATAGCAAATATTGTCGTTCTTTGGCAACTTTAACCAATTCCATAGCGTTAACAATATTTTGATCCTTTCTTTGTAAAGATTTTGACAACTCATTTGTTTATCAAGTGTAAGGTGAAAGCAAAATCAAAAGATTGGATCAATTGTAATAGTGTTTGAGCTTCAACTCGTTTTTCAGTTTTAAGTTGGTGTTCCAATTTTCAATTGCTCGACTTTCAATTGATTTAAGTTGGTGTTCCAATTTTTAAATTTTTTCACATTGCACTCAATTCTTTAATTAGTGGAGTGGTATCAATTTATAATTTATGAAACATTACATACGCCTATACAAAGAATTTTTATTCTTCAGTGGTATCAAATTATCAATTTTTGAATTTTCAAAAATTTTATATACTTACTCATGGGGAGAAAAATTCAGTGGTGGCAATTGACACCACACCTCCCTTGTTGGCTCCGTCCCTGGTCTTGAGGTGCTAGAGGGGACTAGGGAGTTCCTGATCCAAAATAAACCACAAATTACTCTCCTCGTTTTATTATTACACCGCTACTTATTTGTGCCTCAATTGCTTAGTTAAATATAAATAATCCACGCTTGCAAACTTACACATAAGTGCGTAACACATTGAAGTGTCCATCTCGGATTATTACTCAAACTGTCAAACATGTATAAGAGAAGGTTGGATCCTTCCCAGCCTAGCGAAAATTATAAATCAAGAGTTTAGTCTTTTCCTTTCTCGATATATCTATAATTGAGACTGAATAATGTTATTCTATTGTGTTAGGGAAAAGGTTTCCGGACAATCGTTTTTGGAGTATCTAATTCACCCCTCATCAGGTTGCACATCTAGGTTTTCATACAAGTTTCGATTGTTATACTGGCCGTGTTTGGAAAATGGCGGATCAGCCAAAAATTGGTTGGTTTGACCAAGTTTGGCGGTTTTGATCTTTGAAAACGTTGATTTTAAGTGTTTGGTAGATAGCGGGATGCTTTAGCGTTTTGGGCCGAAACGCCAAAATAGAAAACGCTGCAAAGTGTAGCGTTTAGTTACGGCGTTTTAAAATTCGTAGTTCACTTCTCAAACTTGCCCTTCTCAATGCTCCTATTTCATAGCTGCTGCAGAACTCGAAATCCTTAATCCCTGCTACAGAGATCCAAATTTATGGCCGTTGCAGACTCGAAGGCAAATTTACTTTATTTTTTGCCATGGCATAACCCCTCTTACACATGTGAGCAGCTACGTATATATATGTGGGATGAGGTGTCCAACAATCTATGATGTTTCATCTCTCTTGCATTAAGCAAAAAGTATGATTCATCATAGGTGTGTCTACGTGTATCATGGATATGTGTAGCTAGGTGTTTGTATGTGTGTGACCTATGGCATAGAAAGTAATCCACAACTTTTTCATCATAGAGGTTTGGTTTTTCACTTTTTGTTGTTATATTCATTTTTCAATTTAGCTATTTATATAAAAAGAGATCTGATAAATTGTAAGTTCAAAATGTATAATTTATATTGCGCATATAGAAGTGCACCACATCTGCTATAGAAACTTTGTTTTTAAACATTTACATATTTTGTATTGGTCTAGTGAGCTCATGAATTTTAGTTGTTGTTATTATTATTATTATTATTATGTTTTTATTTAGTTAAATTTTAAATCATTCATTAATTTACACATACGAGTATATTTCAAAATACGTAGTACTCCATATTAAGCAACAAAATACACACTAGAATTTATTAATGCCCTTTTTGTCTTTTTACCTACTAACCGCTATAAACAAACAGCTAAGTTACCAAACATCTTTTTGCAACCCGCTGAATCAATTCGCTGGTCAAACCCGCTGAATCAATTCGCTAACCGCTATCCGCCAACCGCCAATTGCCAAACACGGCCACTATCTCCGTCCCATAATGCAAGATGCATTTCTGTTTGATGCTGATTTTAAGAAATGAAGGATGATGGACAGTG